TTGCATGTAGAATCATTCAAGCTCGACATGATCAATCTTGCTTGTGGAGTGATTCGAATCTCAAGCAAGTGTTCTTGCCTTGAGATATTTGATCAACAAGAATCATTCAAGCTAGACATGATCGATCTTGCTTGTGGAGTGATTCGAATCTCAAACAATGTTCTTGTCTTGAGATATTCGATCAACAAGGTAATCCGAATCTTATTCCCCTTGTATTGATTCCTTATCATATCACAATAGTTCGATTTTTTCGTTCAGCGATTCTATTCTGTTCTGGAGTGTAGGGAGCTGTTAATTCCCTTTGGATGCCCTCTTCTTCACAAAAGAGATTGAAATCTTTAGATATAAACTCGCCACCTCTGTCTGTGCGAAGAACTTTAATGTAACAGCCACTTTGGTCTCTACCATAGCTTTAAAAATCTGGAACTTCTGAAAAGTTTCTGACTTGTGTTGTAGGAAGTAAACCCAGCTCATGCTACTATAGTCATCAACAAATAGTAAAAAGTATATACTTCCACCCAAGGACTTCGTTTGCATTGGCCCACATAAATCAGCATGAATTAGTTCTAGATAATGTGAAGCTCTTTTAGCTTTTCCAACAGGAAATGACTTCCTAGTCTGCTTGCCATAAATGCATCCTTCACATAAATTAGTTGAGTCAATTCTTGGTAATCCGAAAACCATACCTTTATCCCTGAGTATTTTCAGGTCGTTCATATGAAGATGTCCATATCTGAGATGCCATAATGTTGAGTCATCTTTCGTGCTAGCAGTGAGAGCAAAATCCTCCATGTTAGAAATATCAAGTGGAAACATCTTATTTGAAGTCATGTCAATTTAAACTTTATGGCCTGATTTCTTATGTGTAATGACACAAGTGTTGTCATCAAATAGAACAGAATGTTCTCTGGTCATCAATTGCCCAACACTCAATAAATTGTACCCTAAATCAGGTATAAATTGAACATTATCTAATTGTTTTATCTTACTGTGACTGGTTTCGATATTTACCGTACCTTTTCCTTCAACTGGCATCTCTTTTGTATTTCCAAGTTGCACTTTAATCTTTTGCGCCTCATCAAGCTCTTTGAATAAGGATTTTGTGCTTGTCATATGGTTCGAGCATCTGCTACCAACAAACCATAAGTCACCTTTTTTCGGATTAGTATCCATGCATGCCACAAACAACTTTTCTTCTTCTTCTTCTTCATTCTCTACTGCAAAATTCATTCATTGATTTTTATACCAACAATCAGATTTTGTGTGCCCATATCTTCTACAGTGGTAACATTGTATGACATTCCTTTGTTCATTAAATTGTCTCTGTCCATGACTTCTCCATCTACCCCTGTTATCACGACCACCATGGAAGCTGCAAAATCCTCCTCTTCCACGACTTCTACCTGCTAAATGAATATTTTCTCTTTCGTTATTGGTTGTCTCCTTCACTTGTAGTGCCTTTTCTTCGTTCCTTTCTGATGCTCTATTGATTCTTGCCTCATGAGCGTGAAGCGAGCCCATCAGTTCATCAACGGAGAGTATGGATAGATCCTTAGCTTCTTCTATGGCGGCCACCACATGGTCAAACTTTGGAGTCGAGTTTCTCAACACCTTTGCAACAATTGTTTCGTTTGGAATTTTCTCTCCATAAGTACGCATCTGACTGACTATTGCCATTGCTCTTGACAAAAAATCAGCAATTGATTCGCCATTCGTCATGAGCAGAGTTTCAAAATCATGTCTTAGATTGCAATTTCACTGTCATGACCTTTGAATCTCCTAGGAACTTCTTCGGTAGAATTGACCATGCCTACTTTGAATAAGGATAAGGCTGAGTACCTTATTATGAGGACACTATGGATGTGGCCCACTTTTGTATATGATATAAACAATGTGATACGATAAGGAATCAACTACAAGGGGAGTAAGATTCGGATTACCTTGTTGATCGAATATCTCAAGACAAGAACATTGTTTGAGATTCGAATCACTCCACAAGCAAGATCGATCATGTCTAGCTTGAATGATTCTTGTTGATCAAATATCTCAAGGCAAGAACACTTGCTTGAGATTCGAATCACTCCACAAGCAAGATTGATCATGTCGAGCTTGAATGATTCTACATGCAATCTAAACTACATAGAATTGCAAAGAAACTTAGCCATCGGCTAAAGAAAAGCACAAATGCTTCTTTTAATATATCTTCTAAGTCTTTTTACAAATACAACATACATGGCTTTATATAGCCTCAAAATGAAACTACTAAAGATATTTCAAAGAGTTGTAACATTCATACTTAATGGCCATAATTGACCATTATGTAATTGTAACCTAAACCTAAAGTAAATTAAAAGTCTTAAAATACAATAATGAAATACAATAACTCCAAATTGTAACCCACCCAAAATTTACAACAATCAAACTTTATTCTTCTTCAATGTAGCATGAATTGAAACATCTTTTGATAATTTTGACAACCTTTTCTTCACATCTTCATTGAAGCATATTGTATGATTGATGTCTCTTGGTTCATATCATTCTCCACTTCTTCAAGAGGATTCGTCCTCGAATCTATTTGTGTAACTTTGCTGCAAAAAATAAGTTATGGAAATACGACGGACCTCACAACACTCTTTTACACAAATGAAGCTTTCATTCTTACCTCTCAAATTTTTTAGTAGAGCCCAGATTGAATTTTTTTATTTTGGATCGATTAAAAACTAAAAAGATAAAAAAAAACAAATTGAAAAGAAACGCAAAGGAAACATATATCCGATCTTGAGCCTAAAGCTCTGATACCAAATGATAAGATAAGGAATCAACTTGCTCTGATACCAAATGATACGATAAGGAATCAACTACAAGGGGAGTAAGATTCGGATTACCTTGTTGATCGAATATCTCAAGACAAGAACATTGTTTGAGATTCGAATCACTCCACAAGCAAGATCGATCATGTCTAGCTTGAATGATTCTTGTTGATCAAATATCTCAAGGCAAGAACACTTGCTTGAGATTCGAATCACTCCACAAGCAAGATTGATCATGTCGAGCTTGAATGATTCTACATGCAATCTAAACTACATAGAATTGCAAAGAAACTTAGCCATCGGCTAAAGAAAAGCACAAATGCTTCTTTTAATATATCTTCCAAGTCTTTTTACAAATACAACATACATGGCTTTATATAGCCTCAAAATGAAACTACTAAAGATATTTCAAAGAGTTGTAACATTCATACTTAATGGCCATAATTGACCATTATGTAATTGTAACCTAAACCTAAAGTAAATTAAAAGTCTTAAAATACAATAATGAAATACAATAACTCCAAATTGTAACCCACCCAAAATTTACAACAATCAAACTTTATTCTTCTTCAATGTAGCATGAATTGAAACATCTTTTGATAATTTTGACAACCTTTTCTTCACATCTTCATTGAAGCATATTGTATGATTGATGTCTCTTGGTTCATATCACAATGTGATCACTAAATTGTACATGTGGAGACATGTGAGGGGGGGCGTCCTATGCAATGAGTATTGCATAAGATCGGACCATGAAGAAAACCACTCTCACTTTATAATGTCGTTTATTGTTGAGACTGAGTTTCTTTTCATTCGATAACCTAGGTAACTCGGTTTTAATCCTGAGCTAACCATGAACTCCTGTTTATTCGGAACTATCCATAGATTTGCATGGGTGAGAGTGGCTCTAGTTCGCCGACTCAACAGGCCTCCCATTTCAGGGGTAAGACTGGGTGAATGGCTGGGGACGTGGGGTGAAAGACGGAATTCACTCCTACCCACTTTTAGGGATAGAAGAAAGGTAGTTCCCTTAAGCATTGACTCCAGGTCTCGAACAAGGGGCCCCACCCTCTCATTGGCCTGAGAGGGATTCAGTTTACTGGTTGGACCACAAACCAATTGTTCATTAGAGGATCAGTGAGACATAAGGAACAAGAAGTAACTTTAGGGGTAAAACGGTAAATTGACCCAGCTCTAGTTACGAACAACCTGTGAAGGATCGACTTACTAATCATCGTTATATCAAATGGACAGAAATATATCTATAGTAAGGGGAGTGCAACTACTAGGCTATAGTGGAGTGTTCTAGTAGTTAACGAATGTTGGTTAACCAGGTTAATGAGTTTAAACCGGTTAATCTTGGATCGTTGGAGCCCATGATCTATAGGTCCATTAGGTCCCTCTGCTAGCTCATATCGGATTAAACCATAGAACAGTGTGACGAGTGAGTTCGAAGTGTTCAAATTCAAATTAGGGAATATCCGTTACATGTATACGATATATTTAACCGTAATTTTGTTTTATTTACGAATTAAACAAAAAGAGAGAATCTGAGATATTTAAATAAGATTTAAATATCTTAATCAATTATGTGTCGGAATTGATTGGGATTGGCATTTGAATTAATATTAAATATTAATTAAATAGTTTAATTAATCATTTAATGTTACTTTAATTTGAAATTATTTATTCAAATTAATCGTTGAATTAAAATGAAGAAAGTCAAAATGTTGACTTTCATCTAATGGAAAAATCCATGTTAGTGGAATTTTTAGGTGTCAAAATTTGGTTTAACCAAACTTGCATGTTTGCCAAATAAACCCCACAAGTTTGAGTGGAATTTTGAGTGTCAAAATTTGGTTAACTCAAACATGCATGCTTGCCACATAATCCCAAACATTTGAGTGGAATTTTAAGTGTCAAAATTTGGTGATCTCAAATTTGCATGAACATGCAAACATGACTCTTTAAATAGAGTGATCATGATACATGGAAGGTCTTCTTCATCTTGGTGAAAAACCTTGAGAAAAACCTCTCACAAACACTCTCTTCACATATACAAAATCCCTCCCAAGTTTAGTCACTCACTGGATTCCACAATCCCGTTCTAAGGCCGGAGGATAGTAGACAAGACACTAGTGGTGGTTCGAAACCGGTTCGTGAGGCAAAAGGAGTTTGAACTACAAAAGGTTAGTATTTAAACTCATTAAGTTTTAATACTTACAAACATGCTAGTTATTTACAATAATTGATGTTCTAAAAGTGCCTAAGATCCAAATTGCTCCAGCCGCTGCTCTATACTTTGCTTCTGTAGTTGACAATGATACTGTTGGTTGTCTCTTACTACACCAAGAAATTGTTTCCGAACAAAACTTGAACACATACCTAGTGGTTAACCTCAGAGTATCCTGGTCTTATGCATAGTCAGCATCACATTATTCAACTAGCTTGAAGTCTTTGTTTCTTTTGTACAAAAGACCATAGTCGATTGTACCTTTGACATATCTCAAGATCCGTCGAGTTGCATCCAAATGAGGCTTCTTTGGACTTTGCATGTACCGACTTATAACCCCAACTGCAGAAGAAATATCAGGCCGAGTTAAAGTTAGGTAGAGTGCATTTTAAGCACTCTACATAGAACACCATTTTAACTACTGTTTATCTTATAAATAGACACCCTTTGAAGCACCCTACAAACGACCACCTACATTTCACCATCTTATAGTTTTTGGTTGTAAGTGTTATACAACTGTAGTACACACCCTAAGCAAAAATTTGAACCTCGGGCAATTCCTTGTGTTTTTGTTGGATATCCTTGTGTTCACAAAGGTTACAAGTTGTATGACATGCAATCTAAAATTTTTCTTATCAGTCGTGATGTTAAATTTTGTGACGGTGATTTTACTTTTTCATCAGCTTCACAAACTTTGACATTAGCTCCTTCAACTCCCATTTTACCACTTCATGATTCATCCTACTCAAACATCCATTCTAGTCCTCCCCCACCTTCTATTCCTTCTCCTACTACTTCGTCGTCTCTTCCACCTTCTATTCCTTCTCCAGATTCACCCACTAATTCTAATCTTATCCCACCTGATACATCAGTTCCACTCCGAAGTTTTACTCGTACAAAACGGCCTCCAGCTTGTTATAATGATAATGAGATGTCTTCTTGAGCCAATCATTTAACCTCTAGCTCAAGTCCCAACACTGTCACCAAGTATCCCCTTCATGATTACTTTTCGTTCTCTCATTTTTCTCCTACTCAACGTGCTTTTCTAACTCTTATTACAGCCCAGACAGAACCTAAAACCTATGATGAGGCAGTTGGCGACCCATTATGGTAGCAGGCTATGAATGATGAAATTGCAGCCTTGGAACGTAATCATACTCAGTCTCAAAGGAATTCAACATCTCAAGACTAGTTTATTCGAGAAATTCCTTTTCAAAGATTTAGGGAATTTGAAATATTTTCTAGGCATTGAATTTTCTAGATGTAGAAAAGAAATTTTTATCTCTCAAAGGAAGTATGCTCTAGACATTTTTCAAGACACAGGTCTTACAGGAGCACGTCTAGAAAGATTTTCTATGGAGCAAAATCTGAAACTTTCTTTAACAGAAGGGGAGAAGTTGAATGATCAAAGTAAATACAGACGGTTGATTGGTTGATTAATATATTTATCCGTTGCTAGGCTTGACATAGTGTATTCAGTTCATGTGCTTAGTCAATTTATGCATGAACCAAGAAAACTACATTGGGAGACAGCTCTTCGAGTTCTGAGATACATCAAAGGTACTCTTGGTCAAGAACTTGTACTACCATCTGAAAACAACTTAAAATTACAAGCATATTATGATTCAGACTGGGGCGGTTGTCGAACTTCCAGAGAATCAATTACTTGGTTCTGCATTGTCCAGATCATCAGCAGAAGCCGAGTATCGAGCGATGGCAAATACTTGTTTAGAGTTAACTTGGTTAAGATACATTCTTCAAGACTCGAAAGTTCAACTGTCCGAACCAGCATTATTGTATTGTCATAATCAAGCAGCATTACACATAGCAGCCAATCCAGTTTTTCATGAACGTACGAAACACATAGAAATAGATTGTCATATAGTTCGAGAAAAATTACAAGCTGGAATCATCAAACCGTGTTATGTTTCGACTAAAATGCAATTTGTAGATATTTTCACTAAAAATTTGGGAAGACATCAGTTCGATTTTTTGAATGACAAGTTGTGTGTGATTGACAGACACTCTCCAACTTGAGGGGGAGTATTAAGATATTATTATAATAATTAGTGTTGGAAGCGACATAGTCTTATAACCTATGCTCAAGGCTTCATACATTTCAAACTCTTAATCTAAACTTGCATCCATGGTTTTTTACATTCAAAGCAATGTAGTCTGAAAAACCAACATCCAAGGCTTATTAGGTTCCAAGTGATGTAGTCTGAGTCATGCTTATGTTGTATAGTGGGATGTCTAGGGGTTCTTGGATTCTAAGTTTGAGGACCTTGGTTCTTCATTCATGGTACGTCAAGTTAGGCTTGGTTGCGTAAATTTTTTGGACCAATCCAAAAGTTTGGGTTGCTTAGATTCAATCCAACCCATTAATTTTCACAACCCAACTGGGTTGGGTTGTTAAAAAATATTTTATTCTTTTTATTCATCTACAATTTATAATTGTTCGAAATAATCTTAGATAAAAGATATAAAATGTTAACAAACAAACACAAGTCCATGTATGGTCACTAAAAAAAATAAATTTTTCATCGACAACAAGTGAGAATTGTAATGTCCTTAACATAGTTCAACATTATCAAAGAACTATGCGTTTGCTGAACAATTAGTTACTATAAAAATAAGGAAACCACAAGGATAGAAACAATTAGCTTAAAGGAAGTATGCATTGTTGGGTTTTATGTCCTAAAACTCACCGTTTGTAAAAAAAAAACATATTCTATTTTCAATAAAGTTATTATTGTTGTTTATTCAGTAAAGATTGTTATTGAATAAATTGAACTTTACGATCATTAATCTAAGTTCAATAAACTAAGAACACTCTGGCTGTAGAGACAAAAGAGTGGATCAAGTTCAAGTATATAGTCAAAATGATCTATAGTATAAGGATAAGGCTGAGTACCTTTTTTTGGGGACACTATGGATGCGGCCCACTTTTGTAAATGATATAAACAATGTGATCACTAAATTGTACATGTGGAGACATGTGAGTGCTGGCATCCTATGCAATGAGTATTGCATAAGATCGGACCATGAAGAAAACCACTCTCACTTTATAATGTCGTTTACTGTTGAAACTGATTTTCTTTCCATTCGATAACCTAGATAACTCGGTTTTAATTCTGAGCTAACCATGAACTCCTGTTTATTCGAAATTATCCTTAGATTTGCATGGGTGAGAGTGGCTCTAGTTCGCCAACTCAATAGGCTTCCCATTTCAGGTGTAAGACTGGGTGAATGGCTGGGGACGTGGGGTGCAAGATGGAATTCGCTCCTACCCACTTTTAGGAATAGAAGAGAGGTAGTTCCCTTAAGCACTGACTCCAGGTCTTGAACAAGGGTCCCCACCCTCTCATTAGCCTGAGAGGGATTCGGTTTACTGGTTGGATCACAAACCAATTGTTCATTAGAGGATCAGTGAGACATAAGGAACAAGAAGTAACTTTAGGGGTACAACGTAAAATTGACCCAGCTCTAGTTACGAACAACCTGTGAAGGATCGACTTACTAATCATGGTTATATAAATTGGACAGAAATATATCTATAGTGAGGGGAGTGCAACTACTAGGCTATAGTGGAGTGTCCTAGTAGTTAACGAATGTTGGTTAACAAGGTTAATGAGTTTAGCCGGTTAATCTTGGATCGTTGGAGCCCATGATCTATAGTTCCATTAGATCCCTCTGCTAGCTCATATCGGACTAAACCATAGAACAGTGTGACGAGTGAGTTCGAAGTGTTCGAATTCAAATTAGGGAGTATGCGTTACATATATACGATATGTTTAACCGCATTTTTGTTTTATTTACGAACTAAACAAAAAGAGAGAATATGAGATATTTAAATAAGATTTAAATATCTTAATCAATTATGTGTCTGAATTGATTGAGATTGACATTTTAATTAATATTAAATATTAATTAAATAGTTTAATTAATCATTTAATGTTACTTTAATTTGAAATTTATTATTCAAATTAATTGTTGAATTAAAATGAAAAAAGTCAAAATGTTGACTTCATTTAATGAAAAAATCCATGTTAGTGGAATTTTGAGGTGTCAAAATTTGGTTTAACCAAACTTGCATGCTTGCCAAATAAACCCCACAAGTTTGAGTGGAATTTTGAGTGTCAAAATTTGGTTAACTCAAACATGCATGCTTGCCACATAATCTCAAACATTTGAGTTGAATTTTAATTGTTAAAATTTGGCGATCTCAAATTTGCATGAACATGCAAACATGACTCTTTAAATAGAGGGGTCATGGTACATGAAAGGTCTTCTTCCTCTTGGTGAAAAACCTTGAGAAAAACCTCTCACAAACACTCTCTTCACATATACGAAATCCCTCTCAAGTTTAGTCACTCACCGGATTCCACAATCCCGTTCTAAGGCCGGAGGATAGTGGAGAAGACACTAGGGTGGGTTCGAAACCGGTTCGTGAGGAAAAAGGAGTTTGAACTACAAAAGGTTAGTATTTAAACTCATTAAGTTTTAATACTTGTGAACATGCTAATTATTTACTATAATTGATGTTCTAAAAGTGCCTAAGATCCAAATTGCTTCCGCATTTGTTATATTAACACCAACATGCATAACAAAGTTAAATATTTTAGTTATCAATTTATGTTTGGATGAAGCGAGGGAGATGGATCCATAACTTCTTTTAGTTTCATCCCAACTTGATTCCTAATTTTCAATTTGTATTAGATACATAAAAAGTTCCAAATCTAAAATGAAATATCATTGTTTCTCACTAGTTTTCAAAGAATATACATAAAAAATAAAAGAAAGCAAAGGCAGCATGAGTACGATCAAATCGAGTTTCTTGGCTGCTACAATTTTGATGTTACTATTGTTAGCTCTTACCTTCGATGCTCAATCTAGTGCCGATGTTGTTTTTCCTTTTAAAAGATATGGTAACATAGTGTCTGGTACTGACATTGGAAGGTAAATATACAATATGAACATCAATATTATCACTGGTTGAGTTGATCATTTGTTTGCTATAATTTTTGTTACTTGAGAAATGTAGACTTTAGCAAATGCATGGAAGGATGCATGCACGTCCAATCGTTCTAGTGCAATTTTTACTCCGAGAGGGATATTTAAAGTAAAGTAAGGGAATTTTGAAGGACCTTGTAATAATAGCCCAATTGACTTTCAACTTGGAGGAACATTGCAGGCACCAAAAAGTATCCAGGGAGATAATTGGATCACTTTTGCCCGTGTTGGTAGATTGACATTATCAGGTGAAGAAGTTTTTCATGGCCAAGGAAAAGCAGCTTGGAAAAGGAATGATTGCCACAAACGCATAAATAGTGCCCAACTCCCCGTTGTAGGTAATATGCCTTCAGCTTTCCTTCTCAATCTCATGCATCTTGTTGTTTTTTTAAAGGGCCTCTTACATGTCTTCTCTAATGTTCTGACATTTATAATTTGATAAGTGTTCTTCATTTTTTAGAGGATAATCTTTCAACAATCAAGTGAAAAAGTGAAACTTTTTTGAGTTTTCAATTTCATTGGGTTCTATCCAAATTTTTAGCTTCATTACCGAGCCTCACAAAATATTATTTGATTATACAAAATGTTTAGAGTTTGAGGTTCAACTTCATCACCAATTCAACCGTTAAGGGAATAACACACTTGATAGCAAGAACTTCCATATCAACGTCCTCGGCTGCGCAACAACCTCACGATCCATAATATCAATATAGTTGCACCAGAAAACAGTCCCAACACTGATGGAATACACATCGGTCGATCAAATAAGATCACAATCACAAAGTCCAAAATTGCAACTGGAGATGATGCATTTCTCTTGGAGATGAAAGTAAAGTAATTGAAGTCACCAACGTGACATGCGGGCCAGGACATGGAATAAGCATCAGAAGTCTTGGAAGATACACTAACGAAGAACCTGTTGAAGGTGTCACCGTAAAGAACTGCACGTTAGTTAACACCACTAATGGTGTCAGGATCAAAACGTGGCCAGCTTCTGCTGCTAGCGGCACCGCCACCCATATGCACTTTTTGGACATTATAATGCTCAGTGTTAGCAACCCTATTCTAATAGACCAAGAGTATTGTCCGTGCAATCGGCAGGTATTAATCGCATTCTCGAACCTTTGATTCATTTTTTCATTATAACTTCACAAATGAACCAATTGTCGTCTCATTTTAATTTTCAGATTCCTTCAAAAATTAAGATTAGCACAGTGAGCTTCAAGAACATTAGAGGAAGTTCTGCAACTCCGCTGGCAATCAAACTTATTTGCAGCCATCACTTACTATATGACGATGTAAAAGTAAGCAACATTGACCTCACTTACAATGGAATAAAAGGTCCTATTTCCTCCCAATGCGCGAATGTGAAACCCATCATTTCAGGAAGACAAAACCCCAAGATATGCTCCTCTCCTTATGTTGTCCGATGAATTGTTCATTGTCATAGAACTTCAAAATAAGAGACAACCTTAATTAAAAAAGAAGACCGTCTCTATCCATTTGTCTCTCATTCTTTTGAGTTTCTTTTGTTGTACTTTTCGAAATAAATAAGATGGTCGAATGTTTGAAGGAGACTTTGTGTCGCGAACAACCTAATGTTTCTAGTACCTCGACCTCATACAATAAAATGGTTTCAGTCTTGTTTTTCATTTTAGATTTTGACTTCCTAGTCTGCTTGCCAAAAATGCATCCTTCACATAAATTAGTTGAGTCAATTCTTGGTAATCCGAAAACCATACCTTTATCCCTGAGCATTTTCAGGTCGTTCATATGAAGATGTCCATATCTGAGATGTCATAATGTTGAGTCATCTTTCATGCTAGCAGTAAGAGCAAAATCCTCCATGTTAGAAATATCAAGTGGAAACATCTTATTTGAAGTCATGTCAATTTGAACTTTATGGCCTGATTTCTTATGTGTAATGATACAAGTGTTGTCATCAAATAGAACAAAATGCCCTCTGGTCATCAATTGCCCACACTTAATAAATTGTACCCTAAATTAGGTACAAATTGAACATTATCTAATTGTTTTATCTTACTGTGACTGGTTTCGATATTTACCGTACTTTTTCCTTCAACTTGCATCTCTTTTGTATTTCCAAGTTGCACCTTAATCTTTTGAGCCTCATCAAGCTCTTTGAATAAGGATTTTGTGCCTGTCAGATGGTTCGAGCATCCGCTATCAACAAACCATAAGTCACCTTTTTTCGGATTAGTATTCATGCACGCCACAAACAACTTTTCTTCTTCTTCTTGATTCTCTGCTGCAAAATTCATTCGTTGATTTTTATACCAACAATCAGATTTTGTGTGCCCATACCTTCTACAGTGGTAACATTGTATGACATTCCTTTGTTCATTGAATTGTCTCTGTCCATGACTTCTCCATCTACCCCTATTATCACGACCACCATGGAAGCTGCGAAATCCCCCTCTTCCACGACTTCTACCTGCTAAATGAATATTTTCTCTTTCGTTATTGGTTGTCTCCTTCACTTGTAGTGCCTTTTCTTCGTTCCTTTCTGATGCTCTATTGATTCTTGCCTCATGAGCCTGAAGCGAGCCCATCAGTTCATCAACGGAGAGTATGGATAGATCCTTAGCTTCTTCTATGGCGGCCACCACATGGTCAAACTTTGGAGTCAAGTTTCTCAACACCTTTACAACAATTGTTTCGTTTGAAATTTTCTCTCCATAGGTACGCATCTTACTGACTATTGTCAATGCTCATGACAAAAAATCAGCAATTGATTCGCCATTCATCATGAGTAGAGTTTCAAAATCATGTCTTAGAGATTGCAATTTCACTGTCATGACCTTTGAATCTCCTAGGAACTCCTTCTGTAGAATTGACCATGCCTACTTTGATGTGGTTGCTGCTGCAATTCGTGAGAAGATAGTCTCATGAACTGCTTGCTAAATAATGAATAAAGCCTTGACATCGTTTTTCTTGGTTTCTCTTAGTCTCTTCTTTTCTTCTATTGTGGGTTCTAATACATCAACAAACTCGTGCTCCACCAAGTCCCATAGCTCCTGTGATCTGAGCAAGATCTTCATCTTGATGCTCCACCACTCATATTTCTCACCATTAAAGATTGGTAACAACAGTGCAAAGGAAGAAAAACCAGCTACTGCCATTTTTGTTTTGTGAAAGAAAATAATCACTCGCCCTCGTGTCGAACGAACTTGGCTCTAATACATAAATTGTTAGAAAAAAGTGATAGTGAAAGAGATAATAGATAAAATAGATGAATGCTGCAGTGCTTTATTATTGTCTACTGACTCGATGCCTAGCGGGTTACACAATTCCAGTATTTATAGCTAATACACTGGACCAGAAATAGTAAATCATGCAAATCTAGATAAATTCAAATGTACTAACAATCTCCTAAAATCTCCTAAAATCTTGGTAGTTTGAATATCTGAATCATATCTCAACCACTTCTTGAATACTTTGAATCATATCTCAACAGGACATAGGTTTTCAGAACATGTCGAAGGGCAAGCCTTGAGGTGTGGGGTTAAGACTGGTCGCTTGGAATGCATGAAGCCTTGGACACTAGATGTCAGGTTCATGTCTGATACCGTAAATCTTCGGGGCAGTGTGTTGGATAAAGAACTAAGAACCGAACAAAAACTTAGAAAGTACCAAGGACAAGAGAAAGATCATGAACTAGAATATGGATCAAGAACCAAGAACCATAGTACTAAAGCCCTTAAAAGATAACCAAGGTTGTAGAATCAAAGGACCAAGATCGTCAGGAAATATCATGATAAGAACTTATTAAGATATAATATTGGGAGAATATGTTATAATAATTAGTTATTGAATATATCTTAGATATTGGTAATCCGTTAATATTTTTTCTTTATGATTTGATTAGTCGTATATTTTTCTTTAATCTCAAGATTTAGTTGGTTTATATTTTTTCTTATTTTTAGGTATTAGTGGTTAGCTTGTATCCTATTTAAACGTGGTGAATATTAATGATGATTGCACTTTCGATCCCAATGCATTTTTTCATTCTTAACATTGTATCAAAGCACCGATCTTGGTGTTATTAAATATCATAATTTTCTTTATGGCGGAATCAGTTCAAATCCAGCTTCAAAATTTCGAATGTTGACATAACACATCCTTATTATAATCATCACTCTGATCAGCCAGGATATTCACTTGTTCCAATCAAATTAAATGGAACAAATTACCAATCCTGGTGTAAATCAGTTATGCATGCTCTTATTGCCAAAAAGAAAATTGGCTTCATTGATGTCACTATTGAAGAACCGTCTCAAAAAGCAAATTCAACCGAATTTGAACTCTAGAATCAGTGCAACAATATGATAATATCTTGGTTAACTCATTCAGTTGAAGTAGATATCGATGATGGAATTATTCACGCCAAGACAATTCATCAAGTGTAGGTTGATCTTCACGTTCAATTCTCACAAAAGAATGCTCCAACAATTTTTCAGATACAAAAGTCGATGACAATGATGTCACAGTGAACCATGGAACTCTCAGCATATTTCACCAAGGTCAAAGAGTGAAACAAATCAACTATAAAGAGTGAAACAAATCAAACACAAATGTCTTCATACCCATCTCTTTTTCTCACCCATTTCAACCGCATGAGTTTATTTTAAACACTTGCACTTTCTCTCTTAATTTCATTGTTCTTTGCACTTTCTCTCTTAATTTCATTGTTCTTTTGATCCCAATTCTATTTCTCATTCTTAAATAACTCCAAGTCAAAAACGGAACTAAGGGGCCTAAGTACTTACAAAAGAAACAAGAACAAGAATAGATAGAGTGCGGTATCCTAGCATATCAAGGACACGATTAAGAGCCTACAAGTAGGCTACTTGCTGAGTCTTGTACTCCTTCCTTATTTTGCATTTTTTTTTCCAGGTAATAAGGAGCTAGTCGAGGTTGGGAGTGGACTCTGGAGCAGGTGTCATAGACAAGCCTCACCCGTCGTCTTCAACCCATTTGTTTTGAAATATTTTATGTTTTTGTCCTTATTTTGTGTTTTAACTATTGGGTTGCGTCTTAATTACTCATGTATGAACACTATTTTGTTTTAAGTAATGTTATGTTTTAAATACTGTTTGTTATATTTCGTTAAAGTTTACTCATCTTTTTGGAGTATCGAGTCAACCCGGTCCTTACATATGATGACCAGATAAAAGCCTCGTTGGGCTAGGCCACGAAACACTATGAAAATTAGACTCGGTGAAGAACCCGAACGACCATAACATAAAATTAATTTTCATATTATAGTTTTACTTTTTTTTAATTCAAAATTTTAGAGTGCAATAACCCAGAATGAGTTTCAATAGTATATTTTCCAATTTAAAAAATAACAATTATCAACCACGATTCTATTTTTATTATAAAATATTTTACAACAGTAAAAGAAAAATAAAAAATAAAAGAATTAATTAATAATAACTAATCCCTTCCCACCCCTAAGCTCGCATAACTACTGCCCTAAAATACTCACCAACTCCTTCTCACAAAACCATATGTTACAAAAAGAATGAAAGAATGAAAGAACTAGAAATACAAACAAATGGGTTAGTTTATTTATTTATTTTTGGGTTATTACCGATCAACTGTTATCTTCCATTACACTCTTTTTCAACTATAAAGAGTGAAACAAATCAAGCACAAATGTGTTCATACCCATCTATTTTTCTCTCCCATTTCAACCGCATGAGTTTATTTTCAACACTTGCACTTTCTCTCTTAATTTCATTGTTCTTTGCTAACCAAGTGACTACCATCCAAGGATCATTCCTCCAAAACCCAAATATTATGGTCAAGATAACAAATGCTCTAAAATCTAAAAATCAGCTCGCTGTTCACTGCAAATCTGGCAATGATGACTTGGGAGTCCACAAGCTGACACCTTGGGCCAGCTACGACTTCAGTTTTCGTCCAAATTTATGGGGCACGACATTGTTTTACTGTTCCTTCCAATGGCCTAGCTCGTTTCATTACTTCAATGTCTACATAGATAAGAGAGATAGAGATAATTGTGAAAGTATTCTTTGTTCGTGGCATATGACTGAGGAAAATGTCTGTATGTTCAACTATAAAACCGATAATTATGATATTTGCTACAACTGGTCAGGCAAAAAATCCATCTATCCATAAATTTGAAAGTTTGATTTTAATGTTGAAATAAATAAATATTTTTGATATGTTGTTTATGTGGGAATTTTTTTTTTTTTTTTTTTTTTTTAAGCTTGAGATGATGAGTAGGAGTGAAATATAAACGTTGTTAATTATCTATGGACATAAATTATAATATGAAAATTTGTTAACTTATTTTGGTCATGATTGATAATCAAAGCAACTATATCAGATGGGACATTGCATTAGAAGGATTTTGACGTAGGGTAAACGTAAGGTAGAGCCTTAGGCTTAGTCAATTTATGCATGAACCAAGAAAACCATATTGGTTGATAGCTCTTCGAGTTCTGAGATACATCAAAGGTACTCCTGGTCAAGAACTTGTACTACCATCTGAAAACAACTTAAGATTACAAGCATATTGCGATTCAGACTGGGCGGTTGTCGAACTTCCAGACAATCAATTTCTTGGTTATGCATTGTCCAGATCATCAGCAGAAGCCGACTATCGAGCGATGGCAAATACTTGTTTAGAGTTAACTTGGGTAAGATACATTCTTCAAGACTTGAAAGTTCCACTGTCCGAACCAGCATTATTGTATTGTGATAATCAAGCAGCATTACACATAGCAGCCAATCCAGTTTTTCATGAACGTACGAAACACATAGAAATAGATTGTCATATAGTTCGAGAAAAATTACAAGCTGGAATCATCAAACCATATTATGTTTCGACTAAAATGCAATTTGTAGATATTTTCACTAAAACTTTGGGAAGACGTCGGTTCAGTTTTTTGAAAGACAAGTTGGGTGTGATTGACAGACGC